AGGAGATCGGGCTGAAACTATAGCTACAAGCTATCCAAGGATGGTACTATAGAATGTCACCTCAAGGTAGGCCTAGTGGCGTCATCTCTTGGTTAGGCCGGAAACTTATCAATCCACCCTCGTATTATGATTAATTTTTGTTGGACTGATTTAGTGCCACTATATCATTGATATACCGGTGTGGATCACTCCGAATACTCTATCTCTCTAATTGTGAGTTACAAAACAAGTAATTTTAGGTACTTGCATGCCTTTGTGAGAGAGAAGATCCATTAGAAAAACGACATCAACCAATCGATACATTGTTTCTTTACCTTAAGTATCTATTGTTTATTCTACATAAACACCCTCTTAACTATCCTGACGAATACCCTAACACCTATCATGAATAATACTTCGATTTCTCTAAAAACAATTTGCAAAAGTTTATTAACTAACAAAATTAAATGCTGATGATAGATAAGTTTGCATCAACACTGAAGGAGCAAACGTTTGTCGAGCTAACATGTTTTAACACTGTTCAATTATGCAGTTAAGTTTTAATTGTAATTAGCTTAAAAGCTGTCATCGGCAGACTCGAGTAGGTAAACCTAATAATAATTATTGATGATTGATCTACACTTCGTGCATGGTTTGTACTTACACAATTTACAGCATTATGATACATTAACAAATAAACCAAACAATAATTTCAAACATTTAACAATTATTTTATTGAATTTTATTTGAATTATAGTGTATGAAAATTGTCAAAATAATCAACTTTCAACCCCCATAACTTTTTATGGGGGTGAGACCGCCGCAATTTTTTTATGGGGTTTTACTCAAGTTAACACCCTCCTTCGATCCCCCCCACCCTCGAGGGTGAGGGGGGCTATCATCTAACCGCCATAACTTTTTATGGAAGTGAGACCGCCACGAACTTTTTATGGTACAGTGGTGGGGGAGGTCTCCTCTTTCGATCCCACCCACTCCCACCCCCTTTGGGGGTGTGGGCCATCATCTAGACCTTTACCTATATTTCGATAATAAATTCGAAATGTCCATGTTAAAAAAATATTATAAAATCGTACAATATTTATAATCTCTTTACAATTCATTTAGTCTGTGTGTTAGTTATGCAACTGGGTAAACAAAATGTGTTTACAGCTATGTGAACTTTTTCAAGGTTACCACAGCATACTTATTTATATTTTATCTTCACTATTATTAAAGAACAAACGAAAACAATTTGTTATCTTTTTTGCTTGTTCGTTTTTGTGGATAAATTTAGCAGAATAACTACTCACAAAAAAAATTAATAGTAGCGAGGAAGAATACATAAGTAGTAATAAATTGGTACCATGATATGTTGGTATTATACATGCTGTATATGTATGTGTGTGAATATAATAACCGGTTATTTACTCGTGAATTAGAGTCATGCAACATTTTTGTAGATGCCTAAATTTGTTATAGTTGCAGAGTTTAATAGTAGATAGTTAATATTACCACGATGATGAAAAAATTATTATCCCTATCCGTTAATGTTTATGATCGATTTAATGTTGCTTATTATTATCTTTTTTTTAATTATGTCTACATATTTAATGGCGGTAAAATGTTTGTATTGTTGTTTTCACAGCCGTTATTAAGTCTAATTAAGTTATCCGAAGTTCCTGCGATTCGCTCCTAATGTTTGGTCTACAACTACTGCGGTAGTGCGATGCGGTAGTTATTTACGCGCCGCAGAGGCAATGCGACTACCGCATCGCTTGTGAAAACAGCCTAATATCACTATACCCTAGTGGCGAGTAAAGAACCGAGCACAGTAATCATCGAAATATGACGTGGATAGAAAAATTCGTACAATACAAATACCTCCAGCCATCTTTTCATATTCCTAGTCCTAATTAATATTATAAATACGAATGTCAGTTTGTTTGTTTGTCGGCTTTTCAGGCCTTAACTACTTAGCCGATCATCACGAACTTTTGTACAGAGATCGTCAGGAGTACTGATAAGGACATAGGGTGCCTTTTATCCAGAAAAATATTGTTCCCGAGGAATAGAAAATAATTAGTTTTATGTGGTCGATTTCACGCCCTGACTCCTCAGTCTATTGTCATGAAATTGTGTAGACACATTGTCAGGGGTACAGAAAAGGACTTTCGGTATCCTTTATCCAGAAAAGAATACTGTTCCTAAGGAACAAAAACGGTTAGTTTTATGTGGTGGTCAACGATTTTTGACACGTATTTAGGACATGTAGCGCCTTCTAGTTGGTATTTAAACTTCTTGAGGGACGCAACAATTAGTTCAGAAGATTTTAAGAGTCAAGTTAGTTGAGGACAGTTTTCAGAGGAAAAGGGATGTTTTCAGATGGATTTAGTTGGAAAGAATTAGTCCACATGTTTACCAAATACCGGAAAAAAAGTTCTAGAGTAAAATAGGATTGTCATAATAATTTTCTTCTATTATTAAAAGGGCTAATTAAAGGACACTTCTGAGCCTGCATTCGTTATCCAGGATGCTGCTGTTTAACAGGAATTATTAATTAAAAATCACCAGTAGTTTGATGTATTTGACGTGTCTAAATGTCATTATTCGGCCGTAGGGTCATATATAGGATGTGATGTTCTGCAAATTGAACCTAAACTTTAGGCCAAATTTTATTTTCTATACCATACTCTCCTTTGAGATTTTGTTTGGTACGACAGGCATTTTTAATTTGAAATTGTCCGACAGCTATTTAAACTTTTTTGTTATTAAAAAAATTGCACGCGCTGTAAGGAGCACTGACATATCGGCCGGTCATTACAACAAGTAGAAAAAGTCGATAAGTCAATGATCGCTCTGAACAAATTCAATGAAAATATACCAATTCGGCCGGAACTACATGTTCTTTGCATGATCATATCATGATGAATATAGATATGTAAGAAACAAGGTCTACCTTCTATATTTTACTTAAGTATAGATAGTATAAGAATACTATAAATATTCGTTATTGAGATGAAACGAATATTAGCACACGTTTCTGTACGACCACTTTTTAATCAGTCTATTGCGAAATCTGTTGTATTTTTATTATTTAATATAGAATTTTTCTGTTCATGTAGGCGTTTAAAAAGGCTGCGGGGCGTTTGTCTAACATAAATTGCGTTACAATTGGTATATAAGCGAAATAAGCCTGAATTGATTTTGTTTACTGTCTACGGGAGTTAATCCTTTTCTTAATTTCTATCTTAACAGGTAGGCATTTTCACAATTATTAATAAAACAAAATTTATTATCAGATTTTCTACTTATTATTTCGACAGTCATTAATTACGTCAAATAACATGATAAAAAAAGGTCACAACAACAAAAATACCTTTTTAAAAGTAATATTAAATTAATTGGCTAAATCCATGTCGATTGTTTCAATACATACGAGGTGTGGTAATTAAATAACTGGACTGGTACTACTACTGGTAAGCGATTCTTCTCCTACCCTGAGTTCAAAAGGCACAGTTGTACATGGCCCAGTTTCGCTATACATAGAAATTGCCTGCATTAGTGTCTTATCAGAAAAATACTAATACAGCAACGACATAACCTAAAGTTTCTTATGAAGCTGGAGAAAACTGCTTTTTAATCTTATTTTGGCTGTCCTACATAAACAAATGAAGTGAAAAAATCAGTTGTCTGTAAAGGATAGTTGAACGTGACAACGTCATAAGAAAATACTGATGGAATGGTTTCATTTTTCAAAAGAAAATTTTAATTTTATTTGTTTAATAGATATTTTGTATGGATATAGAGAAGGAGGTAAACGGAAATCACAATTGAATTGATCAAGTTACATTTATTTGTACGCATAAATACAATTATGTCAATTTTTATTTATTTTTTTTCCAATGTACATAGTTTTTACAAGTATGAATGTGCTTTGAGCAATTGTTTTACAACTTTTATTTACAACTTTTAAACATCATTACAATTTTTGTAACTCTAGCTTCAATTCGACAATATATCACTGAACATATATTTAATATCGAAAGAATCATTACCTTTATCGCCGCAATTATCGTTGCTATAAACAATTGACACCACATTCACTGCACTTTATACTTGACGAAAACATGTAAATGTATTATTGTATAGCAGCTGTCCACGCGGACGCATCGCTCACTCAAGTAGGAGAGAGACAGATGTCGAACGCTGCCGAACGCGGAGGCCGATTGTGCCTCTTTGTCGCTCGTTCCGCGCTCTCGCTTGCACTTCAAGCCTTCAATGGAACGCCTCAGAGCGAGGTAACGCCGCATGAGTCATGTTTTTTCGTGCGTGCAGCCGGTCCATCGACTTATAAGACGTTGTCACGTCAAAAAAAAAACGATTTATAAAAAGGTAGAGGTTCTAAATGCTTCACTAAGACAATACGTCAGCGACCAACGGCGTGGGACCACCCACCGTTCTCTCCCGATCTGGCCTCATGTCAATTCATTGAAAGCGACACATTTTCTAGTTTCTAGTTTAACTGCAGACCAATAAAATATTTTGTCACCAGTCCGGTTACTTAATTGCCACGCCTCGTATCTACAGCAAATACTAATACGCACATCAGCTAGCGTGACTTGTCTAAAAATTATAAAATTACAAGTAATGTTATGTTTAATGATTAGTAGATATTAAGGTCTCCGACTCTCATCAGTTGACATTGAAAGTTAAATGTATGTATGCATATCAGTGTCGGAGCGAGAATGTTGATTATTTGTTGTCTGTTACGTTTTGTTTTCTGAAAATAAAATAATTGCAAATACCTTCCAAAATTATTTTATAGTTTTATTAATTCTAGTAAGTTACTAATTGTTGTAGATAGATCTGCAAAATTAGATTTGGTAGAGCTGTTAAAAATTACCAATGATACAAAATAAACGGTAAATATTAAAAAAAGAACCCTCTGGGATTTCCCTTCCGTCAGAGGAATTGATGAAAGCTGCTTGGAGACTAATGAGGCCAGTGCTTAGAGACTAAAGCACTCAAATTAGGACCTATCAATTGATAGATATCCGTGAGTCCACTGACTTTGCCATAATGCCGAATGAGTATTGAAGCCCCTATCGCAACAATGTGTGGACTTTGAGAGAGAAAAAATGCTCATTGAAAGGTTGAACGACTAGGATCATTAAATTTCTGATTAAGTTCAGATCCACCGGTAGGAACTCGTACTGCACAAGGGGCTGGTAGCCATCGTACTGTAACCCTTTTGATCTTGCAGCAATGTCAACCTAAATTAGTTGCTGCTGATACTGGTTTTGCCTAAAAATTGTTATTTGACGTTTCCAACACCATCTAGTTAATAGAATAGAGATCTTCATCATCATCATAAGGGCGTCAGTCCTAAGACTGGTTGGACGCGCACCTACACTGCTTCCGATCCTAAGCTAATCTTCGCATTTCTCTAAAACTACTATAGAACAAGCCACATCCTTAACTATTTGCGAACAGTAATCTAATCTAGGTCTACCTCTACTCCTCCTAACTCCTGTTTTTTGCTTCTATTATATCTCTGACTAGACCTTCATGCCTGAGAAGGTGTCCTACTACTAACCTATCTCGCCTATTTCTTATTGACTTCCTCTGTTCTCCTATTCTTTCTAATACATCTCCATTTCTAACCTTCTCTATCCACGGTATCCTCATCATTCGCTTGTAACATCACATTTCTAACGTTTCTAACCTTTTCTTTTCCGCCGTGCATGTTTCACAACCGTACAGCGCCTTGCTCCCGACACACCTTTAACAAATCTATACTTCGCTGCCCAATACTGGACCAAAACTTGAACATCTTTCGTTTGGATCAATACGAAAGAGTCCATTTTAAATAAAGAAAAAATATAACCACAAAAACAGTAAGTGACGAAACCAAAACAGGTATCACATGTTTGGACAACAAGTTATACCCTGCAAAGGCGTGATTGGTATATTTCTGCGACTGCAGACAATCATTTACCATCAAAAGGCTGAAAGGCACGGACCTATTTGAGCTGTTGATCCAACCGCTACAGGAATGGAAGGATAAAAACCAAAATGGCAAAATGTTCCGCAATTTATAATAAATGCCATTATCTTACGAATATAATAATTTATTAACTAAGGTGCCTTAAATATATTTACAATTATGCCACAATTATTTATGTTGTTCGATATACACTAATCGCAATTCTCATCATCAATCAATAATCAATAAAAATTTAGGTAAATAAAATGAGCATGACCAACTCAGTCTCTTATTTATTTCTTCATATTCTAGAAGCATTTAGCCATATTCCGCCCTTTGGGGAAAGGATTGACAAATATATTTCATATTCCAAAGGTGTTCTAGTCTTGGGATCAAGAGTGAATTTGTAATCTTTAAGCATCGCAATCAGACCAACCTTCGTCTGCAAAAGTCCCATTCTTAATCCTGCAACAACAAAAACTGACATTAAGAGATAAACCGATGACAAATGGACCTATAAAATAGAATTTGTGCCGACCTATGCATATCCTTGGTCCTTCTCCAAAAGATAGAAATGACATTGGATGCCTCTTTCTCTTGTTTTCATCGGAAAATCGATTGGGATCAAACTTCTCTGGGTCGGGGTAGATTTCTGGATCGTGTTGGATTCCAAAGGGGGATATCATCACTCTTGTACCCTTTTCAATTGTTAAATCAGAATCAGGAACTTTGTAGGTCTTTGTACACTCTCTTGTTAAGACTGCTACTGGAGGATATTTTCTTAATGTTTCTGAAATATTAAACAAAGAACACTAGAAATTTATATAGATAAAGAATTGTTCATTTAACAGTTTCGATTTTGAGCATATCAGTACACTCGATGATCTAATCAAAGTTTAGTTTTCTTTGTTTTAACGTATAGAACGGTAAAAAAAACAAGACAAGTACATTTTTTTTCGTATCTACTATAGATAATAAGATAATTACTAGCTGTTGATATAAAATAAAATAAAAATCACAGGCGCGCCTGTAAGTTTCGGGAGCCAAGAAAATATATCGGCAAAGGTCTTTAAAATAAAAGTATAAATTAATAGAACTCAAAAACGTTTATTTATTATGATGTAACGCAGAGTGCCTCAAGAACAGTTGCGAGTCCTACAAAAATCTATAAAGAACTTTGGCATTTTACATACATATCTATAAATTGAATATACATAATAAAAAGTGTGATTAATTCCGTATGTAAGCACCTACATTGAATATATTTCTGTAAAGGTCTACATGGTGGCCCTCACTCCTTTCGGGGGTGGGGGTGGGTGAAATCGAAAGAGGAGGTCTCCCCCACCATTGTACCATAAAAAGTTCGTGGCGGTCTCACCCCCATAAAAAGTTATGGGGGTTCAAAGTTAATAAACATGCCAATTTTTATACATTTCTCGGCATGTAAATATTTATATAGTCATTCTTAAACAATATTCAAAGATAAAACTAATGAAAAATACATAAAAATATTGGNCCCTTTTCAATTGTTAAATCAGAATCAGGAACTTTGTAGGTCTTTGTACACTCTCTTGTTAAGACTGCTACTGGAGGATATTTTCTTAATGTTTCTGAAATATTAAACAAAGAACACTAGAAATTTATATAGATAAAGAATTGTTCATTTAACAGTTTCGATTTTGAGCATATCAGTCGAAACCAATTTGATCTAATACTTAGGAGTATATCGCCATCTATCACTATTTACTAGTAACTATAATCATATATAATAGTGTGTATTTATAAGTCTCTCAAAAAGCGGTCGCAACATTGGACTTTATCGGTTAAAAAATTTTAGAAAATGCTCTAAATGTAATCGATTTATCTTCTAAGAGTACTAGGATTTTATAATTCGTGCGATTAGGTATATTAAACTGTTGAAAAGATATCAGTAAAGGAAAATGGCAACAAAAATTATTTTTGTCCTGCAATCATAATCGTTGCGGCTATCTTCTCCGGTAATACAATGTTCTGGAGTTACTACTAGACCTACTTTCGATATCCGGGAAGTCACCATTTAATCACAATTTTTGATTAAAATACGCTAACTTTGGAACTTCATAATCTTTAAAACCTAACTTGATAAATACTTGGAAACTAAAGGAAACGTTGGTACAGGTTTGCAAATCTAAACAAACTAACTTTTTGCCCCTGTATATCAATCCCTTAAATCGTCCTCTCTTTAATGTTTGTTGCGTCTTCTATATTGTATAGATTAAAAAGTAGCGATGACAGTATACATCCTTGCCTGACTTCATTCTTAATATTTGATATGAGGAGTATCAATTCATTGTTCCTTAGCTACCCTACACTTCCTAATCATTTCACACTTTAAAACTCATTTATTCAGAATATTTTCTATAAATCTATACTAACCGTACACACACTGGTCCAAATACGTCATTTCTTGTACAGCTTCGTAAGTAATTTGACCGTTGTGTTTCGCCAAAACTTGTTTAATTTCATTTCTGAGCTTGTCTTGAATCTCAGGATTTATTGCTAGTTCGTACATGAAGAAATTCAATGTAGTGGAAGACGTTTCAAAGCCAGCAATGAAGAAAACGAAGGCTTGGGCCGCAATGTCTTCAACTGACAATCCGTTTTGGTAGAAAGCAATATTGTTACTTCCAGAGTTTGACCCGTTGACAGATGATTCCACCTTGAGTTGTTCGTTTCTCAGTTTCATCAGCAGCTGCATGAAATCGTTTCTTTCAGTATGAGTCCTATCACGAAATTCGATAGTTTCTTTAACCAAACCTATGAAGAACTTTTGAACGTCTGGTTTCGCAAATGGTATCTTCAACCATTTTATTAATTTAGGGAACGTAATACGTCCTAATAATCTGATTCTTGCAGGCATGTCTATTTCAAATATCCTCTTTCCATACTTTCTGAATTCACTGTTCGGGTTCTTCAAGCAGTTACTCTCAATACCAAACCCAACCGATGCTATAATGTCTGTAGTATATCTGGCAAATATTTCTTTTATTTCAATGGATTCTCCATTTGATACGAACTCGTCTAAGACGATTGGGATATTTTCGGTACAGCCCACCATAGCCTGGAACATCAGCTTCAACTTTCCGCTGGTAAACAGTGGGGTAAGTTTGGTTCTCAAAGCCCTCCATTTGGAACCTTTGAGCGCAAACAAATGTGCACTTAAGGGATCAACTTTCTCGTCCACAAAAATCACACGATCGGTAAAATGGTGGAAATCGCTTACCATAATGTTACGTATCAGATCGAGATCGGCCGGAACGAACAAATTTTGGAGGAACATGTGGTAGCCACCATATCTGAGACGTTTGGACCTTAACACTTGGTAGTATTTCGCCATTTCTTGGATGATGCCCGTTTTACCCAGAAACCGATCTTTGCCATTGCCGAAAGGCAATACTGGAGGTAGTGTGAATACATTTCGTTTGGACCAATAGGTAAATGAGAATTTTAAACTGACCAAAATGGTCACTATTATCACAGCAATTACAGCAGTTACGACTGCAAGCACGATCATGTTGACTACGCTAGATGCACTTTCGATTTTTATGAGCGCGTATTTATCAAAAGTTACACATTATATACGAAAACATCCACATTGATGTCATTACAATCTTGACAACTTTGTTATGTTGATAGCTATGGGTTGTTTTGATGATTAAGGAAGTTTGTGATATGTCATCATGATTATCTAATTTTCACCCTCGTTTATTAATGACTTATCAAAAAAACAGTGATAAAGTCATCATGACAATGGAGAATATATTTCTTTAAGGCATACTTTACATTAACTTCTTGTCGTAAGCCTTCTTTTCTGAAAACCATTACTGATAATAATGATAAAAATTCATGATATCAACTAAATAAATACTTGCATTAATTGTTTGTATGTAAATGATCAAACAAGTTATGTCTAATTTCGTAAACAACATTCTGAGTCCTTGTTCATTTTGATAAAAGCAGTACATATTTCAAAAGAAGTTCCAGGGAATCCGGACAATCAGTTTACTTGCAAAAAGTAAAGTAGGCATGTACTGGACGGTGCAGTCAATTGGAAGCAACTCATCTCGTCCAACGTCCCCAACGAGCAGTAATCTAATCTATGTCATCCTCAGCTTCTATTTACTATACTTCTATCTATCTTCAACCACTCATCTCATCCAACGTCCCCAATGGGCTTATGTAATCTATGTAATCCTCAGCTTCTGTTTACTATACTTCTGTCTATCCTAAGTCACTCATCTCATCCAACGTCCCCAACGAGCAGTAATCTAATCTATGTCATCCTCAGCTTCTATTTACTATACTTCTATCTATTCTGAGCCAGTCATCTCATCCAACGTCCCCAACGAGCGTTATCTAATCTATGTAATCCTCAGCTTCTGTTTACTATATTTCTATCTATTCTTAGCCATTCATGTCATCCAATGTCCCCAACGAACAGTAATCTAATGTATGTCTTCCTTGTCATCTGTTTACTCCTCTTCTATCTATCTCATCCAAAGTCCCCAATAAACAGTAGTCTAATGGATGTCTTCTTCAGCATCTGTTTACTCCAGTTCTATCTATCCTCAGTCACTCATCTCATCCAGCGTACCCAGTGAGCAGTTATCTAATCTATGTAATTCTCAGCTTCTGTTTACTATATTTCTATCTATTCTTAGCCATTCATGTCATCCAATGTCCCCAACGAACAGTAATCTAATGTATGTCTTCCTTGTCATCTGTTTACTCCTCTTCTATCTATCTCATCCAAAGTCCCCAACAAACAGTAGTCTAATGGATGGCTTCTTCAGCATCTGTTTACTCCACTTCTATCTATCTTCAGTCACTCATCTCATCCAACGTCTCAAATGAACAGTAATCTAATGTATGTCTTCCTTGTCATCTGTTTACTCCTCTTCTATCTATCTCATCCAAAGTCCCCAATAAACAGTAGTCTAATGGATGTCTTCTTCAGCATCTGTTTACTCCAGTTCTATCTATCCTCAGTCACTCATCTCATCCAGCGTACCCAGTGAGCAGTTATCTAATCTATGTAATTCTCAGCTTCTGTTTACTATATTTCTATCTATTCTTAGCCATTCATGTCATCCAATGTCCCCAACGAACAGTAATCTAATGTATGTCTTCCTTATCATCTGTTTACTCCTCTTCTATCTATCTCATCCAAAGTCCCCAACGAATAGTAGTCTAATGGATGTCTTCTTCAGCATCTGTTTACTCCAGTTCTATCTATCTTCAGCCATTCATCTCATTCAACGTCCCTAATGAGCACAAATCTATGTAATCCTCAGCTTCTGTTTACTATACTTCTATCTATCCTCAGCCAGTCAACTCACCCACCGTCCCCAAAGAACAGTAATCTTACTCTGCCTCTGTTTACTCCAGTATCTGCATCTAATATGTCTCTTACTAACACTTTTTACACATGGTACATTCATCATTCTCCTATAGCAGCACATTTTAAATACATCTATATTTTTCTTTTCCGTCGCCTCTATCATCAAACTTCCGCGCCGAGCAGAGTCATCTTTCAAAAATAAAGTTTTTTGAATATTTAAATTAAAACATCACGAGCGCAAAAGTGATTTATTTTTTGTTATTCCTACGTTGTTCATTGTTTTATGCCTATATTGGTTATTATGCCGTAATAAGTTATCTATCTTTTTATATATGGAAAATCGCCTACTTCTGCCAGTTTTTCATCTCAAATTTTTATATTAGCATTCATCTCCCGTAAATACCAAACTTTTTCATTTATTTTTATTAATTTTCATTCCGTACTCTTCCGTTAATACCGCTTCGTGCTTAAGAAGAAAGCATTTTCGCATTAGCCAAAGCTATTTTTAATTATACACTTGCAGTAGATTGGGTTTTGAAGGTAGAATACTCAATAGTAATAATAACAATAGCAATAATGTACAAAATAGAATAGGGCTGTAAAATTGCATTAGACATAATGTAATTGTAATGTAATTGGCTACCAAAGATATAGGACTTGGCCTATAAGTGCACCAATATGTATTCGTATACCTAATTATGCCAGACGTAAAACACATGAATCTTCGTAGTAATTAGGGTGCAGGTAATTGTTGAGGCGTGCAGCAGCCATAAACTTTGTTACCCAGTAGCGTCACAGTCGGGGCTTTGTTAAGGCATTAAATAATGACATTCCGTAAATAATTTTGAAGAAACTGAACGCCTAAATGATCACTATCGCATTCAAATAGCGAGATGAGGTGAAAATAAACCGATTATTGTTTTATAAGGGTATTCAGAGGGTCGAAAAACGAAATGGAAGCCATAAAAACAAATAAGCATCTTGGACCTCTAGTTTTAACTTATGTATTATTCATCATCATCATAAGGTCGTCAGTCCTAAGACTGGTTGGACACGTACCTCCACTCTTTCCTATCCTGACCTAATCTTCGCATTTCCGTAAAACTAGAACAACCCACATCCTTAACTATTTACGAACAGTAATCTAATCTAGGTCTACCTCAACCGCTCCTAACTCCTGTTTCTGCCTCTAATATGTCTCTGACTAGACCTTCATGCTTAAGAAGGTGTCCTACCAACCTATCTCGCCTATTTTTTATTGACTTCCATAGAGTCCTCTGTTCTCCTATTCTTTCCAATACCTCTTCATTTCTAACCTTTTC